AAATTCCCCTTGCACAATATTGTTCCGGTTGCTATTGACGTTAATTATATAATTTGAATGCATAAAACATATTATTTTTCATGTGTTATATAATATAACTTATATTCAATACATAAAAATTAGTAATTAGTAATATAAGAAAATAAATAAAAGTAATAGAAGTATCTCATAAAGTTTTATATTACAAAATTGAAAACTGACCTATAATTAAATAAATTGCTTTTGATGCCAAAAGATTGTATATCACTAACTCTTTTTAAAAGTTTTTTATAAAGATCTTAGTTTTTAATGTAAAGCAATTTTCTAAGTTAAAATAATTACATCTAATTAACCAAAATAAACAAAATAAAATTTAAAAATAGCCCTTTAAATAAAATTAGCTTTAATCAATTTATTACTTAATTTTTAATCACTTAAATTTGTTTTAATTTATGCTTTATTAGCAGTTTTCCTACACTTTATGACTAATTTAACTTTCATATGTATTACATGATTGTCTACGATAACTTGACTAACAACTTTTGTTAACTAAAGGAATGAATACTAGTCTAATACCAGATGACAGATATACCGGTATATAATAAGTTATGTTAACTCAAACCGGTTAGTTAGAATTATACTTTATGGTCAGGAAAATTACCTGTCCTTCAATTCTTGGAGGTTAACTTAGACTAAATTGTGTTAAAATATTTTTACAATTAATTAATACATATTTATATAGTGTTGTTTAATTAATACAGTATTAGAATAAATTTAGAGTGATTTAGGCAATTTCATATTCATTAGATGATTAGTATTATTAATTTCATTAATTTGTCAATTAAATTTGATAATTTGAACCAAACTATTTAATTAAAGTTTTTAATTAATAATTTTGAAATACTATTTTTAATTATATTAATGATTTGAAGTTATCAACAAGTATTAATACATATTTAATATAACTTACATTAACAGTAAATATATTTCAAAGGAAATCCTTTTGATTTTTCTATTTGATGTCATAATTCCAGTGAAATTATGAAACTCCAGTTAAAAAACTTATTCAAAAGTTAAATGACAAAAAACTTTAGTTTTTGTTAATAACTGCCTACAGATTATAGATAAAATATTCAATGATTCGGATATTAAGGTTAATAAATGTAGTTTTCAAACATATTCTGTGCAATAAATAAAAGATTTTATTTGATTTTCATACAGTTTATTATTGGATTTCAGTTGGGAGTAGAAGTCATGAATAGGTTTTTGTTGACAACAACCCTGGTATATGTGTTGATACATATGACCGCCGGAGAGCACGGTGGATATGGTGGTGGCTATGGAGACTATGGTGGGGGATATGGAGGGGGCTATGGAGGCTATGAAGAAAAGGTATATTCCGATTATGCTGGTTATGATGTGAATATATTTCATTACTTTTAAATATTTATTTTTTGGTAAATTATACTAGTAATACTTTAGATATTTATGACTAAATTATCAAATCTAATCAATTACTGTATATGAATTATATATTTTAAAAATTGAAACTCTTAATAATAGTTATATGTTGTACTGTATTGGTAAAATTGAAACACAATATAAGAGTCCTATAGTGTATGCATTTATTAAAACTAATTTCTTAACACTTATTTTAGAAAGTGATTAAACCAGCCGTAGTTAAGCCACCGATCATCCCATTTGTTAAGCCTGTGATCACATCATATCAAAAATTCCCCTCTTATGGCGGTTATGGCGGTTATGGCGGTTATGGTGCACATGGATATGGAGGTCTAGACCTTTGACATAAAATAAAATAAAATAAAAAACTAAATGCTAAATTAAAACAGGAAAAGTGATCCCGATCACCAAACTGCACGACTACCAGCCCAAGTTTGACATCACCCCGTTCATCAAGTCGTATGAGGGGGCAT